TTTGAATGGTACAACAATCATTTTTAAGAGTTACAGTTATTTAGTAGAATAAAGTTAATAAAAGTTAGAATAAAACATAATTAAAGGTTTTTACTTAAAATAAAAAGTAATTAATTTCTAAAAATTCACATTTAAAATTTGAGAATATATTTGTTAATGTTAAAATATCAATTCATGATACTGATTAAATAATAAGAAAGATTGAGTACATATAATTATTTATAACTCTAATATAATAAAATAGGACAATTAAAAAATGTGTCTATTTTTTTAATGTTTTCGAAATTAAAAAGTGGTCGGTTTTTAAAGACAAATGAATACCTACAATAGAAAAACTAATCTATATATATAATGGGAGAGTTTTCTCTCCTCTTAGGGTGTCCACATAATCACCAAATTAATATTATGGATCCTACTAATAATTATTTCAAAATATTTAATTTCATAGTTAATTACATCTCATATCAAAGAAGTAATCATCAATTAATGCACAGTTTTAAATAAAGGTTACATGAATAATAATAACACAAGTGTAACATATTTACATATAAAACACTTAAATTAATTTTTTGTTAATATATAACTTAAAATGAACATAATCCCTAAATATTTAATTAATAAATAAAAAAATAATTATGAAAATTTCATAAAAATACCAATGTTATTTAAGATGGACAAAAAGCTTCTTAATGAAATTTATTATACAATTAAAAACAAATAATAACTTATTAAAAATAAAAAAACGTTTAAAAACTATCATTTTTAAGAATAATAAAGAAACCTCAAATATAATTTAGGATGAAAAAAGAATTGAATTGAAATGGAAAGCTATAAGAGTTTTTTTTTTTAATAATAAGAAGATATTCATATTTCATGGAAACATTAAATTAAAGAGATCATAATGAAGTGGAAGAAATTTATTTAAAATAATATTTTTTTTAGATTAAAAAAAATGGTTAAATGTTATAGTAAATGTATGATTGTAAAAGTTTTTTTAAGATATAAGAAATAATTCATATTTAAAATTGAATATTATATTTCAAGAGAGTAATAGTATAAATTCACATTGACGAAAAAATATAAAAATTAATTGTATCTTAATATTAAATTATAGTAAAATATAACAATAAAAATAATAAAGTTATATCTATATTATTGTTTGCTTTCTAAATAAAAAGGTGAATATGTTTAAATATAGGTAAAAATCTAAATAAGTAGTGTTGAGGAAATTTTAACAAATATATATCTTTCGTAAAATTATATTACGTTGAAGCATGAAAACCATATAATTAATAAAATAAAATAAACTAAAAAGATGAAAATGAGGAAATAGTTTTCAGTTAAGAATCAATTTAAAGTTTTATTAAAGTGAGCATAGAAGATAAAAAAAGAGTAGATGTTGGGAAGCGAACAAATGCATCATAGAAGATGACGAAAAATATTTGAAGAGAAATTGAGTAATGCTTGAAGCATCGGATATATGTATGCACATGACTAAACGATATTCATCAGATATATGTATGCATTATCGGATAGTTTGGTTTAGTAAACCAGACTATCATATTCAATATCAGGTTAAATCGTCGAGCCATGTAAGCGTAGTAGGATAGATAAGATTAAGACATTCATGATTTGGTCAAAACTTTCCTTAAGGTATGATGGTCTTGCTTCAATAGGTAAATTGTGCTCTCCAAACCTATTGAAGCGGCATGAATATTACGTTTATATATTTTCATAAATTGATGTTCAAACTCAGCAAATTTACTTTTAATATGAGGTACGAATAGGTCAAAACATCAAAGACAGTTATATTTACAAGATTTGTTTATGGAAATAACTCTCTTTTTGATAAAAAAAAAATTCATTGATGACTACCGAGACCGATTAATCTTATATAACTTTTGTTATTACGCGGTACGTACCAAATATATTTTATAATTTTCTATGTTGTAGATTGTTTTGTAAAACAAGTATGAATATATATATAGTTTTTAAAATTCAAGTGATTATGATTATTCTTAACATTTTGTATTATACCCAGTTGATATTTGATATTCCGCGCAATGCGCGGACGAGTAAATCTAGTATTAATCAGTTTTAAGGAAATTAACATAGATCGAAAAAAATTAACGTGATTTGAAATACAACAAAAAAAATCCTAAAATCACAAATAGAAATAAATAATTTAATTGAATAATAAAACTGTGTAATAATAATATTTGAGAATGCTATTTGGAAATTAGAATAGTTTTTAATTGGAAATTGGGAATGGAAGAGTTTTTAGTTAGAAATAAGAAGGATTTTTAAAAAAAACAATAGACGTATTTTTAAATTAAAATAATTTTTATGAGTTCTTATGTTACACATTTGACAAAATTCAACATTAAGAATACTATCTAGAGTCAAAATATACACCAAATTATATTTGTGAAAAGAAAATTTTATATTTTTCAGTTGGTCAACATAAAGTGTAATATTTTACGTTTAAATATGATGTTTGTAAATAGGAATGAGTGTATATATGAGCCTCAAGCAGGAAATTCTCAATCCTGATGTCAATGAGAAATTGGTTTACGAAAGTGTGTTTTAGAAACATGGATTTACTAATTCGCTTTTGAAATTACTCATGGTAAATAGGATTAACAAAATTCCATTGGAGATTGAATATCAGTTGAAAGCCAATTAATCGATTTTTGTTTTAGGAGATTTGTGAAAGATAAGTTTCTATTTTATTTGTAATTTTATACTATTCTATTTTATGAACATACTATTTAGATTTATATTGAACTGTTTATTTTGTTCTGTTTTTGGTCTATATCATTTACATTTATTTAATATGGTTGTTACTTGTTTGATGCAGCAACCCCGTGGAATAGGGAACGTCAGTTTGCCACAACGTATGTTCAGTCTTGGTGCTTGAGGGGGATAGAAATAAAAATAAGGGGCACTTGGTTATGGAGACTTGGAAATTTTGTCAGAGTCCCATTATAAGTGTGTGTATTGTTCTATTTTCTCATGTCTCAGTAATCATCTCGTTGTATCAGTGTTAATTTTCGTTTGTAAGAGTGTTTTGTTTTATGTATCTTTGTACTATATGACTACAGTAATATATTCACATTTGGTGCTTGTCCTGCATCGTTTATTGTATGTTTCTATTCTTTCCTTTACTATGTTTCATATGTACTATTCCTAAAATCATAACAATAATTTCTGTCATGCGTTTAATTCGGCATTTGGGTTTCCTATATTGTATCTAGGGTATAGCGTTTATTTTTCGATGTTGTTTAACACAAATTTCGGAAAAATTAATAAGTTTTTATGAGTAATAATATTTTATGCATTACATTTCATTTTAGTCTATACAATTTCATTTAATGTAATTCTATTTAGACATAAATAATTTATTTTTAACTAATTTTCATAAATTTGTGCCTGTTTTTAAAAATTCAAATCATGATACATTCAAAAAAATTTGAGTTTGACTCGAAAATTTGAGTTTCATATGTTGTATTAATTAGGGGTATAACTTTTTTTCTTTGATGTGCATTTAACTTGGTCATTTGGGTTCTCTATGTTGTATCCCTTAGGGTATAGTGTTCTTTATTCGTCGTGCGTTTAATTCAGCATTTCGTGTGCTATATGTTGTATTTATTAGGGTATAACGCTCATTTTTATACATATGTTTTTGGTTTGAGTGTAGGTTCTTAGGTTTAATATTTAAAGTTAAGGATTTGTTTATGTATATTTGTGAAAAATGGTATAGTACAACATTCTATTCCATATAGATTCTATATAGAATGCCTTGTATTTAACCACAAACACTATTCACTATTATAAAATTTTTACATCCAATTTTTAAAATTTAAACTATGTTTCATTCAGAAAAAAATGTATATTTTTTTAAGATATATTTGAAATTTGGAATCTTAAAAAAAAAATATATATGCTCAATTTAAATATGATGGGGTAACAAAAATTTAAAAGAAAAAAAAAACACTAAAATGGTAATTTCCCCAGCCCTTCATATTAGTCTCTTCATTTTTTCAAATAAGGTGCTATATTCTTAATTTGATTTATGTATATGGTCACTCACCTAAATGGCCCTTTAATTATACTATTTCAAAAAAAAATTATTTAAGTTTCTATGTTCATATTTGAATTATATAAGATTTATATATAATTGTGCTTATAATTTTTTGAATTTATCAATTTTAATTGATTGATCATAATGTCATTGCAATCGAGTATATAGGAATCGAACCCGCAATGTTAGCTTGGAAAACTAAAAGATTTAATCTATTTATCATTTTTATATTTTTAACGTGTCTAATTAAAAAGTATTTTGGTTTCATTCGCCAACTTTATGATGAATGTTTTTAATTTTAGTTCTTCATATAAGTATACCATGAGTTATTGTTATGTAATATAGTATATATTTTATTCGAAATAATTTTGAATTAATAATTTTAGTGGTTAAAGAAACAATACAACAGTGAAAAAATAAATATATTTTTTTTACTTTTGAAAGAAAATCTATAATTACAATGTTGTTAATTAATTTTTTGTTAAATTCGATTTTAATTTTCAAAAATTAAACCCGTCCATCGGACGGATCCTTATATATATATATATATATATATATATATATATATATATATATATATATTACCAATATAAACACAATTTTTGGCTCCGCTGGAATTTTTGGTTGTTTTTGTTTGTTTCGAGTAGAAATGGTTCGGTATGTAGGAACCGAACTGATTAATACCTAAAAATTATCAGTTCTTACTCGGTTCTTCAATCAAGTATCCAAACCTACTCGAACTGAGTAAGTATCAAACTGGAACCCATCCGATTAGTATTCGGTGCCTTTATGGATATAATAAACTCCCTAACCGAATGAACCGAATCGCCTTAGACTACGTTACATTACATTACACAGTTGGTTTTTACTCTTCAGCCAATCATGAACTTGTTATTTACTTTTTTGACAATAAAAATAAAATAAAAATGGAACTTGTTATTTATACATTACATTACACAGAATTACACTTAACTACATAATGCATACCAATTAAAAACAAACTAGAATGCAAAGATTTAGAAAAAAAAAAAAGAAAAAAAAGCAACACAATTAGAGAGTTTGGTAAATAATCATTAATCAGTTGTTATCTTTGTGATTATTCATCCAAATCCTAAAATTCTTCCGATTGACTCCAATCTCTACACAAAACTCTTCAACCTCCTCTCTCTTCTCAGGTCTTACCTTCCACCGTAGCTTCTCCGCGTAACCCCTCATTTTCTCCGTCTGCTCCGCCGTAAACTTCGTCTTCAATCTCTTCACTCTCCCCACCTCCTCCTCCTCCTCCTCCTCCGCCGCTAAATCTCCACCGCCAAATCGATCTTTAACAACCCGATCTCCTCCATAACTCTCCTTCTTTCCTTTGCTTTTTCCGCCGCCGTAAGGTGAGCAAAAGATCCGACGAAACTGATACGACGAAATCTTGAGAACTTCAAGAACCGTCTCAGTAACGCCACCGTTCTCCGGGATGGACTCTTCACGGTGGAAGTTACGGTGACAGCCGCATGCGGCGCAGTTTAAAGAATCTTCTTCTCCGGTGGAGCTAACAAACTCGCCGCAGCCATCGTAAGCGGTGGTTCCGATATCAGCGGCGTGATTCTTCCTGCATTCACCGTAGTGTGGCTTATGATTAACTTTTAAGATCGATTCGATGATCGGTGGTGGCGCGTGATGAGCACGCGTGGATTTGGGTTTGGTTCTGCGTGTTGGAGGATAATGGACGTGGTCTCCAGTTTCACGGCAAATGGCTGTGGCATTACGACGACGTTTGGAGTTTTCTTCTTTCTTTGGTTTTATTATCTCATCCATTGATGATGATGAAGAAGATGAGAGAAAATGAGTTCAATGGATAGAGAATGTTTGTGTGAAGAAGAGTCGATACTTTTTAGGCTCGTTGATAGTGAGTGACTAGTGACCATTGACCATTCACAAATTCCGTAACCGGGAATAAATTACGTTAAATAACTCAAAATCGATATGAACCGAAAGGTTCGGTTTGGAATTTCAGGTGGGATAGTTTGGTTTGGAACTGAAGTTAGCCAAAATTAAAATTCGGTTCGGTTTAGAACTCTACTACAGAAAGAAACCGGAGAAAGCGATAAAGGAATCAAGTGAAGAAAAGTGGAGGAATCTACTACGGGTTTCTTTCCTAGTTAAACCGATTGGTTAGGGACTACCAAACCAAACCAAGAGCTCATAAACCTAAAACATATGTAATTACTTAAACTTCGGTTCAGCTAGTTCGGTTTACTTCGGTTCAGCTAGTTCGGTTTACTTCGGTTCGGTTTACTTCGGTTCGGTTTACTTCGGTTCATCCTCTTACCGATTCCAATGTAAAGGTTTAGTCAGAAACAAATGTAAAGGTTTAGTCAGAAACAAGAGGTAATTGAACAATAACATTTTGTTCATTTCCCAAATTAAACGACGAAACCATAGTCCTCACATCATGGATACACCAACATTGAGAGACAGAAATGTACCTATGTGCTTGCCAATACTTCCTTTAGAAGTTTCTCAGTCAATTCTTTGGGGAGACCCATCACACTATCTGTTGTCCCAACCTGATACAACAATACAACCTAGTTTAACATTCATGCTCCAAAAGAGTATAAAAGAACAACAGACATGAAACAGTATGATCAACTTGTTATCTTTTATGATGATAGAGGATAAGAGTCTAGACTCGAATCCAAGAAAAATCATGCTATGGTTCGTATTATGTTAAAATGCAGAAGGCAAGGAAACCAACCACTTCCTTAACACACGGCAGTATAAGAGGATGTTCGATTAGGAGTGCACCAGCTACCTTAAGCACCATGCCTTCCTCAATCTACTCATCAACACAGCCTTAGCTTAGTAGAAGTAATATTGATAGGGTGAAATACATGTCTTAAACTTGTATAAAACACCACTCACCAGTTTCTCGATAGTCTCTTCCGGTATTTCATTGAAATAGATCTGTTCAGAATTTACATCATCAGCTCGCGCTATATATTTCTCAAATTGTAAAAATCGCAACTTTAATGAAACACACAATTATAATGTTACCTCCACTCTATCGACGCCTCCTTTTCTGACACCTGTTTTGAGATTTGTCACAGCCACAGAACTCACTGTTGCTGTGTGCCCCTTGGAATAGCCTGTGTTTTGAATTTAGATAAATGACTTAAGCCTTGAATTCCAGTAACCAAGAAGATAATGCGAGCTTACCTCTTATGTACTCCCTTGCTTCTTCGACACTCGAGGGTTTCTCTCTGACAGCATCTTCATAGACGACCACCTTCATACAATTCAAAACATTAAATCCAAGTCTTTCATAGACTATCTAATACCACCAAATTCCATTCATGTCCTTAGAATGCCTCATCTTTCATTAGTCAACTCCTAAAAAGGACAAACCAACTAACAGCTTATACAATCTTAGCTCTTCAGACTCCATTTAATCACTAAACCTAATATGGTTGTCCATTACAGCTAGCAAGTTGAGTATATCAAAGTAACACGGAAAGTTCAAATATAGATCAGTACTTGGTCACAAGTAATAAGTAAGGTCGACTTATCCTCCTCTATGTTATCACCATCAGCGATCTGCTGCATGATTGCTTCAGCCTGGGAAAAAATTTTGCCGGTTTATTAATATGTCTGATGAAGAGGAAATGCTATATGAAACACCTTTGGTTATATGGTGGCCTTATATAAGATATATGCATGTAAGAGATCCTTCCAGTTAATAAAAACTCCGGCGGAAATAATAATGTGCCGAGATGAACTACAAAACATGTAGCCAGAGCATAAAGATTTTAAATTCAGAAGATAAACAAGGAAGATCAAGACCTAAACAATCACACAAAATAGCCGGAGAGTAAGATTATAGATAAAGACCTAGACAATCACACAAAGCAGAGCTATTGAGAATGTGTTTTGCTAAGAAGATGATGCATCCACAGAAACATAAAATGGAACTTGGTGAGAGTAGATGGAGGAATTTACTAGTACATAGCTAAACCATAAAAACTACATACTGTATCCGATGCAATCAAGACTGTCGGTTGTTCCTCATTCGCACATTCAGTAGTTAGTAGTTTTGACACAATAGCATCAGCCTGAGATGCAGTTTATAAATAAACGATGGGAAACAAGAAACGAACATCAACAAGATTAACAGCGAACAATATATAAAACGAAGAAACCATAAAAGTAACCATTTTATTGAAGTTACCTTTGCCACAGCTAAAGCCAAAACCAACTCTTCAGGTTTCTCTTTACGAATGCTTTTCTCATCAATATCAGCACTCTACATTCACAATTTACAAGTGAAACTTCTACTTGAACTATATAAAAATGGAGTCTTTAATATAATTCAAAGGAAGAAGAAATTAGAAATTACCATGAGAGTGAATTGGTATCCCATGTCTGTTAAAATCTGACGTCGAGCAATCGAAGAAGATCCCAAAATTAGCTGCAAAAAAAATATTCCCAAGGTTATAGCTTTTGCAAATCCTTCAAAGCACAAGTGCTGGAGGATTTGACAAGTTCGAAATCGAATGCAGAAACAGTTCATGAATCGAACTAGAAACTTAATGAAAAGATGCTGACCTTGAAGTGAGGTTGATTCGATTCCATTTTCGTATGCAAAACAATCAGAAACCTTGAACACTCAAAATTGCTCAACTCTCGAGCAAAGCAATGAAGAAAAGTTTTGGTTTTTAAGTTGATGGAAAAGTTTGTTTAGATACCCCATGAACTTCTACTAAATTGCATAACGAGCCCTTTTATTCTCAGTATTTTTAGTAACGTCCTTGAGTGGACTTTTTGTTTGAACAAACGTCCTTGAGTTAATAGAGTACATTTTGATAGAGAGCTTATCCTGAAGCTGATGAGCATTTTGAACAAATGCAGAAAATATTTTATGGGCCAAAGTAAAAATATCATATAATTTAGAAAAATTTACTCATATGTTATAGAAAAGTATATTTATTATTAGAATATCATATATCTTTTAAAAATTACTCATATGTTTTGAGCATTTGTGTAATTACAGTTAACACCCTTCATTAGTTTTTTTTTAATTAATAATTTTTAATTCGTTTTCAATTAAAAATAATAAATAAAAATTTGATTATCCATGTCATTAATCCACATCACCAATTCCACGCTCTTCAAACTCATTTTATTTCCCCTCTTCTCTTTTTTTGTCTCCAAATCCAAGAAAAGCTTTTAGATCAAATATTCTGCAACTAACTTGGGTACAACATTGATAGAGATCTTCAAATTGCAGGATTGGGATGGATCTTACTAGACCTCACAGCCACAACGCTTGCCATAGGGTCCCAAATCAAAAGCTTTGTCAGATCTACTCACAACCTCGCTCACGAAAAAAGTCATTAAAAATCAAAACCCAAATCAAAGAGATCTATGGAATTCTACATGATTCGTTACAGGTTTGAGTTGAAATCAAGAATAGCTACTCTTTTACTTTGATTTTACATGTCTCTGGTTTAATCTTCTTCTCAATCGATCTATTTGGAGACATTTCTACTTCTATCTATGTTTTGATTCATACGGTTTAGTCTTCCTCCTATGTATCCCTCAAACATATTTTTACGTTTCTTAATTTGATTGTTGTTATTTGACCAATAAATTTTATATTGTCTTCTCCATAAAAATATTGCTTTCTGATCTGTATTATAAATCAGCCGTAAAGTGATGTAACTCAGCCGTAACGTGATGTAACTCAGCCGTAACATATAATTTACGCAATCTTTCGTCTTCCCTGAATGATAACTCAGTCGTGACATGTAATTTACCGAACCTTTCATCTTCCCTGAAGCATATAACTCAGCCGTAATATAATTTACACCCATCTTTCGTCTTCTCTGGAGAATATAACTCAGTCGTGACATGTAAATTTACCGAACCTTTTGTCTTCCCTTAAACATATAACTCAGCCGTAATGTAATTTTACCAAACCTTTCGTCTTCCCTCAAACATACAACTCAGCTGGAACATATAACTCAGCCGTGACATGTAAATTGACCGAACTTTTCGTCTTTCCTTAAGCATATAACTCAGCCGTAATGTAATTTTACCGAACCTTTCGTCTTCCCTGGAACATATAACTCAGCCGTGACATGTAAATTGACCGAACCTTTCGTCTTCTCTTAAGCATATAACTCAGCCGTGACATGTAAATTTATCGCGAAACAATAAAAGACGCAACATTTCGTCTAACTTTATCATCGACCACCAACTTCACAAGTTTTTCGTGCGTTGTTTTGCGCATCTATCTGCACAACTCTACACCCTCTTTCATCGGTGTTAAATACGTATTTGTGTTTCTATACCTAATTACCGAAAACAACAATTACCGGAACCGGATCAACCATATCGGGAGAAGGATGAAAGAAATTGAAGAAGAATGAGGAAGACGATGAAGAATTGGAAGTTCCAGTGATGTGAAAAACTCAGGTGAAAAAGACAAGTTGAAAAAATTTGGCCCTATTTTTTTGTCCTTTGATGATGATGACATGGAATGATGACATGGTATGTTGCATCCACGTCATTTTTTAATTAATGAAGTGGCAAGTAAGCCACCAAACGAAAATTTAAATCAGCCTAATTAAACCGGCCATCAAACAAAACTTTAACTCAGTCGTAACATGAATACTATTACAGTAACTCAACCAAAAATATTTAACTCAGCCGTAACGTTTAATAAGTCGGCCGTCATTGCATGCTATTCTAGTAATTAATCTTTCGCTACTAAGTCAGCCGTAATGAGGCCGAGTTTTCCGTTAATCCAGCTCATTACGGCTGATTTATGACACTCGAACATAAATCAGCCGTAACGTAATCCTATAACTAAGCCGTTTTTGATAACTCAGCCAGCCGGAGAAAGTTAAGTCAGCCGTGTCGAAGCAATAACTCAGCCAAAAATTTGACAAATCAACCATCGGATGAAAACTCAGGCTGGGTTATGCTCGAATATCAGCCATTTTCTCATAACTCAGACAGATTTCAGTAAGTCAGCCGTAACTCCAGGCTGGGTTATACTCGTAAGTCAGCCGTTTGCTCATAACTCAGCCATTTTTCTTAAATCAGCCGCAACATACCGTAACTCAGCCGTCACTGCCGCTATATCGCTTGACGGCTGAGTTCATTAATACACGTCAGCAATTTCTGACGTGGCAGTGGCATTCTTTGTAATTATGTTTTTTCCTGTAACGTTTAACAGGGGCACGCTGGGTATAAAAAATATACCCGAAATATGATAGTAATAAAAAAAAGATCTGTATGTTTCTGGTAATTTCATATAAAATGTTATGCATCTGAGTAAAGTTCCCTATAATTTAAGATTACCATGAAAATTCTATGTAGATTATTTTTCAAATGGTAAGATTAACAATCAAATTTGTAGTTTTTTAAAAGCTGTGCCAATGAAAATTATGTGGATTATTTTTCAAATGGTAAGATCAGAAATGATACTTTAAATAGGAAAGGATATAATGGCTTCTCCTTTGATCAAAAAAAAAAAAAAAAAGGTCAAAAAAAAAAAAAAAAAGGCCTCTCCAAAAATGTAAGAAAATGGAGAACCTTGTAGAGTTCTAGCAAGATTCATCTAATGTATGCAAGACTAAATTTGACCCAATTTGCTTATGGTCTAATTGTAATTCGACCTACGAAAATGTGTAAATTCGTTTATTCTTGGTTCAAATCCTACAAGTAGGGGTTTGATTCGTATGTGTTACCGGGTAGTTGTGTTATCTCGTTCTTGCAAAGTGAGTAATTTATATCTCTTTAGATGAAAATTCCGATTGATTAAGTTTTCTTTGTCGGGTTATCTTACTTCTGAAATTAGTCGGACGCCTTAAATCGACTGTAATTAGACGAAAGGCGAAATTCTAGTCATGTACCACGACTTCGATGGTGACCGGGATCATCCCAAGTAACCATAAAAGAGAGAACGTTATAAGAGTTACAAAATGAGATCTTATTCTTCACAATTTTAATTAAACGAAATTTAACATTCCTATAAATACCACATAGGCGGGTACATTACACATAACTTAGCTTTGTTAAGCCATGGCTCGTCTTATCCCAATTTCTCAACCTTTCTTCTCTTCAAACACTAAACCTCCACCACCACCAATCTCCGCCCCACAAATCTCCGACCACCCACCACGCATTATCTCTCGTCGAGATACCGTTCTCCTCTCCTCCGCCGCTTCTCTTCTCCTCTCACTCTCTCCAACCAATCTCGCTTTTGCCTTCTCCTTAGGAATCTGTACACACACACACACTTCTCACTTACTCTTCGTTTTATTAATCTTATCTCCAAATTTGTGAATTTTTTGAAAAAATCTTAATTTTCACGCAGCAGGACCTAAAGAGTGGCTTAAAGAACAGAAGAAGAAGTCATCGAGATTCTTACTCGCTCCCATTGATGCATCTCGTGAAGCTCTCCGATCTGCTTATCTTTCGTTATCTAGTGAATCTGATTATACAGAGAAAGATTTAGAGAATCTTCAGAATTTGTTTAAGTCTTCTGCTAGAGATTGTGTTCCTAAAGAGAGAACTTCTCTTGTTGATTTTCAGTCTAAATCTGGAGTTGAGGTTTATAGAATCTTCCCTTCCTTATTCTGATATCAAAATGATCTCAAAGTTTTGGTTTTTAGTTAAGAATGATCTCAAAGTTTTGGTTTTAGTTATGAATGATCTCAAAGTTTTGGTTTTTAGTTATGAATGATCTCAAAGTTTTGGTTTTTAGTTATGAATAATCTCAAAATTTTGGTTTTGAGTTATGAATGATCTCAAAGTTTTGATTTTTATGAAGAAGATGTTGTTGTTTAGGTTTGCACATTTAAGCTTGTTGTGAAGAATGCTGCTTCATTACTTGGTGATAAGGATCCAGTCAAATTAGAAGCTGAGAATATACTTGATGATCTGGTTAGGTATGTGCTAGGTGTGATTCTATTGAAAGATGCAATAAAAATGTAATGCAAATGCTGTGATTATGGTTATTGTTTGTTGATTTTGCAACTTTTTGTATCGCAGGTCTTTCGGTTCCCTTATCGTGTTGACGAATGGGGTTGATATGAATCTTCCTTCTGATAGGTTAGTGATTGAAATGATTAAGGGATCTTATGCCTTTATGTGTTCTCTGTTACTCAAAGCATATATTTATATAATGCCTCTGGTTTTCTCTCATGTCACTGAAGCAGTTGAATGTTTTAACTTGTTTTTCAGAAAAAAGATTGCAGATGCGGTTACGGATGCTATCTCTTATCTTGACAAATTTGAGAAGGGTGTCAAAGACTGCCTTGAGATTTGAGATGAAGTCTAGTTCTCTCTTCTCTCTTCTTGTGAACATTATGGCTAAATAGGTGTACCAACTTTTGTTACAAGTGTATAAGTCAGAGACGATATCTCGTTCTATATATGAATATAATCATATGCTTGATGCTGAGCCTCATTCATCTCGTGAAATCGTTGGAATTATCGTAAGGAAGACACGAGAAGCCTTCTTTCTTCCTTATAGTTTTTAAGAAGCAGATGGAAAATGGTACTTTTGAGTTTAGATTTTTAAGATAATAGTGAATTGTTCATATCAATGGTTTATACATCAAATTACCAATAATCTCCTACACAATTTCTCTAGTCTGAAAGACTCATATATATATGTTCTTCAAAAGCGTGCAGTACCAAAT